TTTATATATTTTGCGAACCGTGGTGTCCGTCCGAGCGTTCGTCTGTCTCCCGTTTTAAAAGCTGCGCACGCAGGCAAAGTTCAACATTCACTTTTAAAATGACGGGAGAACAGGCATGAATAATGTTGATGCCAAGTTTTATTACGCAAGCAGAGTCGTCAGGAATTAATCACACTATCAATAGCATTTCAAAATGTGACGTAACTTAAAGAATAAAAATGTAGATTTACGGTATGTTATTGTTGAATGGCTCTTAGCATGACTGAAATGCTCAAAAATTACTTTCCGCAGTGGGCGGTATAAGTAGCCCAGAGTGCAACACACAATTAGTCTTTTTAAATGTCCATAAAAGAATTTAAAATTAATAGATTAACCTAAACTTTTTCCGTCACTGGGGACGGGTACTTTTGCTTGTTATTGTATAATTGGTGGATGTTGATGACTAGCTTCATTTCCTCTACATTTATCAGTTTAAAATCAGGGTTGACTAGCACAGATAGTCCTTGCATAGCTTGCATCATAATCAGAAACGACTTGTTTGTTGTTAAGCGCAAAGCTACAAAAAGGAATATTTGTGCTGTGTCCACCAGAGTTATCGAAACTTGGTTTTTTACCGTTATAAGCCTTCAAACTTACCGGTGAGCCACTGGAAGGGGAGAGTGTCAGAAAAGAACTATTAAAAACAAAACAAAAAGAATAGGAAATGCTTTCCCTATAGCACAATCAAACATATCAGAAGGTAAATGAAACAACTCTTATTTTTTTTATGGTGTCAGTACTTATAAAAGAGAATAAAAAACAACCACTTCAGAGATACCTGAATATTTTGGTATCACCTACGCTAGAGAAATTCAGGAATGTAAGTGAATTTAGTACAGTGAAACAATACATACAATCAGACATTGTTCACAACAAGATACTTGTTTCCATTGTAGTACAGTGAAACAATACATACAGTCAGACATTGTTCACAACAAGGTACTTGTTTCCATTGTAGTACAGTGAAATAATACATACAATCAGACATTGTTCACAACAAGGTACTTGTTTCCATTGTAGTACAGTCAAACTAATACATACAATCAGACATTGTTCACAACAAGGTACTAGTTTCCATTGTAGTACAGTGAAATAATACAAGCAATCAGACATTGTTCACAACAAGGTACTTGTTTCCATTGTAGTACAGTCAAACAATACATACAATCAGACATTGTTCACAACAAAGCACTTGTTTCTATTGTACTAGAGTGAAACAATACATACAATCAGACATTGTTCACAACAAGGCACTTGTTTCCATTGTAGTACAGTGAAAACAATACATATAATCAGACATTGTTCACAACAAAGCACTTGTTTCTATTGTACTAAAGTGAAACAATAGCATACAATCAGACATTGTTCACAATAAGGCACTTGTTTCTATTGTACTAAAGTGAAACAATACATACAATCAGACATTGTTCACAACAAGGCACTTGTTTCCATTGTAGTACAGTGAAAACAATACATACAATCAGACATTGTTCACAACAAAGCACTTGTTTCTATTGTAATAAAGTGTAACAATACATACAATCAGACATTGTTCACAACAAGGCACTTGTTTCCATTGTAGTACAGTGAAAACAATACATATAATCAGACATTGTTCACAACAAAGCACTTGTTTCTATTGTACTAAAGTGAAACAATACATACAATCAGACATTGTTGACAACAAAGCACTTGCTTCCATTGTTTGCTTCAGTCTCCACTGAAGTTCTTCTTTCTCCATAGACAACCGTGACTTCGACTTGAACTCTTTCTCAAACTCTTCCTTTAGGTGTAGACTTTCACTTGCTAGCTGTCTGTGATTTGAAATATTAAAGTCAAACTCAGTCAGACCACAGTTAGTAACTAATGGTTTTGTGGAAAAAAGAAACAGGATAAACCAAATAAATAAACCAGATTAAGTTACTTTTTCGTACAAGTGCATCATGTTTTATTCTTCTGTCCATGACATCTAATGTCCGACAACTTATGGATTAGAAACCAGATACAAAATATTTTAGTGTACAACTATTTGTTGTATGTGAAGTATTCAACTTTTAGCTATGGCCTAAAATAAAGAATTTTCATTAATGGAACAAATGACATATTTGGATGTACAACAAACAATATCGTAGCAAAAACTGTTTTATATTGATGGCTGTGTTAAAATAGCTTCATGTTTCCATAGAGATAGTTTTATTAACAGTAAATACATCAAAAGTAATCTCTAGGTACATACATTACACTATTTGATCCCAACAATGTGCTGTTGTGTTTACATAGTTTATAATATTATAACAAGTATAGACAGCTATTTGATCCGAACAATGTGCTGTTGTGTTTACATAGTATGGAATCCTGTAACAAATCTAAATGGCTATTTGGTCCTAACAATGTGCTGTTGTGTTTACATAGTTTATAATATTATAACAAGTATAGACAGCTATTTGATCCGAACAATGTGCTGTTGTGTTTACATAGTATGGAATCCTGTAACA